CAACATAATGTTCTTTTTAGCAGCATCATATGACCCCTTTAAAATCTTTTACTGACGGTTTGCGTTTCTTCACAGGCCAAACACAAGCGTTACTTCGGCCACTCTGCCCACGTGACCAACATCCGTTTCTCTTATGACGACAAATATGTGATAAGTGTAGGAGGCAACGACTGTAGGTGAGCTGACATCCATCCATTTGTCCAGCAGTCCGTCGGTCTGTCTGAACTCTTATTAATGCGTCTCCTCTGTCTCTCAGTGTGTTTGTGTGGAGATGCATCTGATGGGCCTCCACACACCAAGCCGGAGATACCTCCAGCGTCCGGATGCTGCACTTCTGTTATGCTGCGTTTTACCCCTCTAGACCTGATGGATCCTGGACGAGCTTGAGTTCGACGAGGGTTTTTTACCATTCTGTGAAGTGCAATGTTTACGCTCACATGTAGTTTTACAAAGAAAAAAAAGATACGCTCATAAGTCATGCCAATATTTCAGAAATGTATTTTTTGTTCGGATTCTGAAGTGCCTTGGAGACACAGTTTGCTGATCTTTTCCCCCGAAATGTTCATATGCATATATGGTGCTAAATGTCCACTTAAAGCTTTTTAAAATTCTTTTTTTTAAAGATCATGCATTATGCAATTTCTTTTCTTCTTTATCTATCTTCTTTTTACATAAATGTCAAATATATCCATTCACTAAATCCTCTTCCTGTTAAAAATATCCAAATACATGGGACTCAGGAGAAATTAAGTACTGTAATGTGTAGATGTTATATTTGACCTGTGCTATTTTTGTTAAAATTTTAATTTTTTATTTACGTATGACGTATGCAAATTAGTCGGTCGGTCTGTAGGCGTATATGAAAATGGAAAATGCAAAAAACTGGCTGTCCAAATATTAAAGTTATATGAAATGTACGTAGTAGCGTTGTCTGTTGCGACGTGTGTAGATTGTGACAGCAGCTGTTTATTGTGTGCAGATATCATGTTATATCTGTCATTTGTATGTTCATGTTTTTGTAATTTGTCTG